AAAAAGATTGGTATAAGACCGGTCCTATGACCGGACCAATGGTCTTTCGGTCTGGATCGGATCGTTCCCATCCCTAAGCACACCTCTATGCAATCACACCGAAGGGTGTGATTGTAGAGAGGTTTCCGTGATACCGTAAAATATTTTGATTCACAAATTTTTTAAGACTTAACTATTTTCTTTGAAATTTCAAAGAATAATTATGGTTAATTCAAGGATTATTAAACAAAGAGAATCTTTACCAATTTTTCATTTTCGACAAGAAATTATTGATGCAATAAAAAATGAAAATTTACTTGTTATAATTGGAGAAACAGGTAAAATTTTCACATTACTATTAATATTGTATAAATAATCGGTGAAATAATAAATGAATTCATTAGGTTCTGGTAAAACAACGCAAATTCCTCAATATATCTTGGAAAGTTTCGAGGATTGTAGATTAATAGGAGTTACTCAACCAAGGTTCTATGTTTATAATGTTTTAACCCGCTTAATAAGAACAAATATTAAATGATCAATTTTTTTTAGACGAATTGCAGCGATTACAGTCGCTAATCGAGTATCGGAGGAACATGGCACTAGACTTGGAAGTGAAGTAGGATATTGCATTCGATTTGATGATTGCACTTCAGCAAAAACTAGATTAAAATATATGACGGATGGTGTTTTATTACGAGAAGCAACACTTGATCCCAAGCTAGAGCATTATGATGTAATCATTATAGATGAAGGTATTCAATATTACTTGGCCGATAATTTATATTCAAGGATTTTAAATTTAATTTTATTATTTATTTTAAAAAAAAAAACTTTAAAATTAGCTCATGAAAGAACATTGGAAACCGACGTATTGTTCGGATTATTAAAAGAAACACATCGTTTACGTCCGGAATTAAAAATTTTAGTAATGTCTGCAACCCTAAATGTAGAAAAATTCTCGGATTTTTTTAACGAATGTCCAATTTTTAGTATTCCGGGTAGAACTTATGAGGTAGCAATAAATCATCATAGAGACGCAAAAATTATTAGTCTAAAATCAACTTATGTTCAAAGAGCTGTTGACACAACATTATATATTCATACTCACGAGCCGCCAGGTGACATTTTAGTTTTCTTGACTGGACAAAATGAAATAGAAAAGTCATGTCGAGATCTTGATAATCAAGCACGAGAATTAAATTACAGACGGGATGTACAATATTATGATGAGGTAAGAAATTTAATTGTATTTCCAATTTATGCTAGTTTGGAGACTATGGAACAAAAAGCCATATTTGAAGATCCTCCTGAAGGTACAAGAAAGGTTGTCTTTGCAACAAACATTGCTCAGGTAAATTCTTATTAATGGTACATTACATAAGGTTCTAGAACACTAATTATTATTTTTTCCATTTAGACATCAGTTACAATTCCTGGAATTAAGTAAATAGGTTAAACGATTTTTTTTTTTTATCTTATTAAGAAATTATATATTTATTTTTTATATTCAATATAGATACGTTATAGATAGCGGATATGTTAAACAAAAATCATATGATCCAAGCACAGGAATGGACGCACTTTTAGTTGTGCCAATATCACAAGCTGCGGCAACACAAAGAGCGGGTCGTGCAGGAAGGACTGCACCAGGAAAAGCATTTAGATTATATAGTAGAGAATCGTTTGAACAATTGGAAGTTGATACAGTGCCGGAAATTCAAAGGAGTAGTTTACTTGGTACAGTGTTAAGTTTAAAGAAAATGGGAATCAGAGATATTCTTCATTTTGAATTTATTGATCCGCCCGATCCAATGCTTGTTAAGACCGCCTTAAAACAACTCTTTTTATTAGAAGCAATTGATGAACAAGGAATGTTAACACCTTTAGGAGATGAAATGTGTATATTTCCTTTAAATCCATTTTTATCAAGGGTTTTAATAGCAAGTGCAAGACAATTTGGCTGTAGTAGGGAAGTTTCAACGATTGTAGCAATGTTATCAGTTGAAGAAATATTTATTACACCGAGAGATGAAGAAAGATTATTTGAGGCGGATGAAAGAAGAAAAGTATTTTATCATTCTTCAGGAGATTATATGACATTACTTCAAGTTTTTGAAGGATATCGTGATAGTGGATATGATCGAGATTGGTGTAGAGATAGATATTTAAATCATAGAGCTTTATCTATGGCAAAAAATGTTCGGGATCAACTACGTGAATTAATGGAAAGACATGGGGTTTCGATTATTTCATGTAGGCAAAAGGATAATCAAGATGGTGATCATAGAAAAAAACGTAGTAAACAAACCTATTATGAAACAAGAAAATACGATTTTACAAAAATTCTTGAAGCATTTTCTACATCATATTTTATTCATTTAGCAAAAAGGCATCCACATAGATCCGTATTTTATCATTATGCTTCAGCTAATATACATACTAGTGAAATGATAGATTCTAATAGTTCTTTATTGGCTTTACATATTTCACCTTTATCAGCTTTACATCCCGAAAATAAAATTGTTAAAGTCGATAGTTTAGATTGGGTAATATACCATTCCATTTTATATACGAGTAAGGCTTTAATGAAAGTCGTTAGTAAAGTTAAATTAGAATGGATAGAAGAAAAATTGAAATTATTTAAGAAATTGGAAACTGTGGATTTGGGTGGTGACGATAATAAAAAGGATAAACAAGAGAAAGAAGTCGATGATGAAAGTGTGGATAGTATTGGGAAAGAAAGCAATTATATAGACGAAGAAGAAATGAAAAGAAAGAAATTAGAAGCTATTGAAGCCGCAAGACAAAGAGCTTTAAACAGAAGATCATTAAATCCAGATAATTGATTTTTTTTTTTTTAAAAAAAAAAAAAAATTTGAGAATAATCTAATAATTATTGAATTATCATAATAGAAATTTAATTATAAAAATTAATAATTTATTGGTAAATTATTATAAAAACATTACTTTTACAAGATCTTCTTTCTTAAATAATACAAACAAAATTACAAATGCATTCATTTCTATTATATATATTATTAATGAATTAACTTTGTAAAATTTCATCGTCAACTTCAACCCAATCTTCTTTACCAGAGATTATAGCCCAAAGACCATTCACCCTATCTTCTAACCATGAATTAAATTTTAATCCTTCTACCCAAGATTTAGGTAATTTTTTAAATCCAATTCTAGCACCCAACAGAGCTCCAGCAACTGTAGCATTTGTATCAGAATCACTGAAATTTATTTAGTAAAGTTAATAAAGCTTCCATTTAATCTCAAAAAAAGTATTTACAGTAATATATATATTATTTTTCTTTTTATTTACCCAGCCTCTAATGCTAATTCGGTAATAATTTTCTTAAAAGCTTCACCCTCATCTGATTGTTGATTCAAATTCCTTGTAAAACAATATAATGCTGATCCAAGACATTTATAAACATATCCAATAGAAGATGATTCGTCTAATTTAAGAGCCGTTAAATTTTCAGGAAAACAATGTTGTAAAAGTGCCTTTTCACCAATATCAGTTTTAAGAGCTCGTGAATTTTGTGGTCCATCAGGTTGTTGCTCAACGGGAGTTGAATTGACAATAAATTTGTAACGATCCACAACAGCACGAGTTAATGATAATATCACAGGATCAGCTCCATATGTTTCAATCCCAGGCGGAAGATTTTCAGGAATTTTAGCGTCTTCACGAGATTTGTGTTTCGATTGATCTTTACTTTTTCTTCCATAATTCGACCATTCTGATCTTTTTTCAGATCTTTTTCCCTTTAATGAATCACCAACTTTATTGATTACTTTACTAATAATATTTTTCTTTTTCGTTGTATCTTTATTAACTGAACGCGCTTTAGTTGTCGATGGAGGATCTCCTGAATCAATATCAAAATCTGGTCGATTATCGGGATTTCCGGATTGCGTCCATTTCAAAATCTCTCCTTTTGTTTCATCGTCTAGATCAGGTAGAACTTCTTGCATATTATCTTTTAATAATCTCGAAATTAATATTGTTACGATTATACTTGATATACAACATCTTGGATCCGCATGAGTAACTTTTGTTGCCTGTAAGGTTTGTTTTATCACTTGTTTTTCATCCCAAAAGGATGGGACACCTAATATCGCAGTCCTCATCAGTGCACCGTTGGCCGCCATATTACGATCAAATTTAACCCATACGTCCCAAGCTGCGCGATGTGGTTTAGATTCAAACTTGGGATGTTCCAATACTGATCCAACAGTTAATCCTAATAAAGAATTATGAGCAAACACACATATATATTTTTTTTGATTTCGATTTTGATAGTTGAGTTAACTTACCTAAGCCATTAGGAGGCTTGTTATCAAGTTCCGGATATCCATGATTAACCCATTTATGCAATCGACGCGCAAAATCACGAGAATTAAATAATCCATTTGTCGCAGTCAATGAATCAATTATAAGTAGCTGTTGATCTAGATTGAACACATTTTAATACCTTTAGATAGATTACAAAGAAGTGTACTTTACTAATTTTTAATTTACCCATGTCATCGGTCCAATCACCGTCATCCCATCTTCCTCGATGTTGATCAATGTAAAATTCATAACCTTTCTCTGATCCAAATGCTATTGGGCCAATACCGTATAATTTTCTAGCTGCTGCTTTTGACATAAACTCCGCGGCCAACCCTATGGCGTCACCGAGTGCAGCTCCTTTTATTTAAAGAAAATATCAGGTAAATTTAATAAAAGTTTACATTAATATCTCATATTTATTAAAAGATACTTACCGTAAATACAACCTTTCATTTTATCATAAATTTCATCCAAACTAAGTTTAGAAGCATTTTCAGGTATATTCATTGTCAAAGAATTTTCTTATTTTTGATTAAAAAAAATATATATATATATAAAAACTTATGTTTATAATTTTCAAGTGTTTCGAGGAACGTAATTATCACTTATTATATATAGAATAGGGAGCGAGAAAAAAAAAGTTCGGACAACCATTTTACAAACATAATTTGAAACTGTGTGCAAATTCTTGCATAATGCTAAATACAGTCATAACTTTCTATAATAGCAATAAATTCATATGATTTGCAAAAACTTATTTAAATAAAAGAACAATGGCATCGTGGCGGATACGTTGATCGTGGCGTATTGTAGGTAATGTAACACGGATCGATTATTAAAAGTTGATCAAATTTCGAACTAGAATTCAATTTTAGAAAAAAAAAACGAATTTAACCTTTAAATATACGTTTCCATTGTTTTATAATAGGAATTATATTATAATGTTATATCATTTATTTATCAACTAATTTTGTTATATTTTATATAAAATGTGTGGCATATTATTTCGATTACAAAAATCTGTCATAAATGATTCATTCCACGATGAATTGTGGAATCAATTGATTATTCGAAATAAACAACGTGGTAATTTTATGATTGATTATCGAAGTTCATCATCCAATTCAATTTTTCCCTATAAAGCTTATTGCTATATGTTTAATCTAAGTCATATCGTATTTAATTAATTACAGGACCGGACATTCAAGGGAAATTCTCTAAATCAATCCAATTTACCACTTCATTCGAAATCAATTTAATATTTTATGGCGCAGTTTTGCATTTACGAGGACCTACTGTTAATAAACAACCTTTGATAGATAACGATGAACAAGATGTGTTATTATGGAACGGGGAAATATTTGATGGTATTGAGGTAAGATAATATATATGCCAAAGGAATTTTTATAATTTACTTGATCTAAAGCATCATGTTGTCTTTCATTTTTGTTTATTAGGTTCCACCTGGAGAAAATGATACAAAATATCTCTTTGCAGCTTTGAAAGAAAGTTACAAGGTTGAAAATGATAAGGATCAAAATAATGAGATACTTGAGATTCTTCGGAAGATCGAAGGACCATACGCGATTGTGTACTGGCAGGTTTATATTTTACATTCTTTGATTTCGATTCGAATATCTATAATCTTAATAACCTTTGAATGTAGAATTCAAAACGTAAATTATGGTTTGGACGAGATTGCTTGGGAAGACGTTCTTTATTATGGCATTTACCTTCCGAAGGAGATGACAATTTCATATTAACATCTGTAGGATGTAAAGTTTCACAAGCATCAGAAGCATCTACTTCATTACCTTATTTTGCAGAAGTTCCAGCTAGCGGTATATTCTGTTTAGATTTAAATAAAATGTTGTCACTGGCTTCATTAGGTGTTTATATTTTTTATTTATTTTATTTATATAATCTATTATCGTAGTAATAATTTAACATTCTATTTTAACTTCGAAGAATCTCTGGAAAATTTCTTGACACATTACAAATGGCATGAAGTAAATGAATCAGTCAATGATTCGTCGTGTGTGCTGGCAAGAATCTATAGATATTTTAAATGGGCCAAATTAACGAATTAAACGAAATATATTGATCAAACTAATTTCGAATCGGTAGACTTTACCTTTTGGCAGAGTTAATGACACTCTTCCAGGCTCTGAAGATCTACCTCAATTGCCGAATCCACTAGACGTATCCAATCATTCTTTCATTCCAGCCATATCACCTGAAATCCAAGCAGCTATAGATAAACTAATCGAAGAATTGGGAGATTCCGTAAAACGACGCGTTATAGATATTCCACGTACAAGGTAAATAAATGATTGGCTTTAAAAATCTTTATTTATTCAAGAGGAGATTATTTTATAAAAATAAAAAAAAAACCAATTTTCTCGTGTATTAATTATTAGATCAATTTCGGATGCTAGAGTGGCTATCATGTTTTCTGGAGGATTAGATTGTATCTGTCTTGCTGTTTTAGCAGATAAATATATTCCAAAGGAAGAAGCAATTGATTTATTGAATGTAGGGTTTGAAAATCCAAGGATTCAGCAAGCAAAGAAAGATAAAAAGAAAAAGATTTCTCAAGATGTTCCTAAGAAATCTATTTATAATGTTCCGGATAGGTTGACGGGAATACAAGGAGTTGAGGAATTGAGGTACCGAGAAGAATTTTATTATTTATTCATGAAAAAATTATAAACGACTTAGATTTATATATAGGAAAATAGCACCTGATCGTATATGGAACTTTGTAGAAGTGAATGTCCCATATGAAGAAGCTTGTGCTTTTAAGAATGAAATAACGGAAGTAATGGCTCCATCAGATACAATTATGGATTTGGTAAGTCGGAGGCGCATGAAATAAATAAACAAAATATTAGTATGACTTATCTTTTTAATAAAATAGAGCATAGCGATGGCTTTTTGGTTTGCAGTTCGCGGAAAGGGTTTGTATGATGAAATTCATTTCATCGATTTTGCAAGTTGCAAAGCATATTTGACGCGCCAGTAACCTTTATATTTTACAGGTCAAATTTCCAGTTCAGAAAATCTGGAGGTTAAAAAACTTATTATTATATTATATAGTAAGCCTTATCTTATTATAAGCTGTTAATTTTAATTTATATATTTAATAGGTAATGATTGATTATGAAAGCAAAGCTAGAGTTATACTCGTAGGAGTTGGAGCAGATGAGTTGTTGGGAGGATATTCAAGACACCGTGAGGCGTTTAGGCACGGTGGTTGGCAAAAACTAATTGAAGAGGTAATTGAATTTTTCTTCTTTTTTATATTAAAAATAAAATCAACCAATTTTCTATCTTATCAATAATATTTTATTAGATACAACTGGATGTTGATAGAATCTCAACCAGAAATTTAGGTAAAGGAACCTAAATTAATTAATAAATATATTGAAACGAATGATGTTTGAAAAGAAAGAATTTTTTCTTATAAATATTATTTTTTAGGCAGAGATGATA